AGAGTAACGCGATTGACAGAATAGATGAAATTCGTAATCAGTCGTATCGTAATCAGTCATGGACAGAACGATTAAAAGGAAAAACATTCAGAAAATAGAGAAGAATCGCAGAAAAACAAGCTTTACGAGAGAATGCCTTTTCTTACGACAATTTGTTTCATGTCTCTGCTAATTTCAAAAGACATATTTTCTTTTCTTTTAATCTACCTTTGCCAATTTTATTCTAAATAAAATCGGAATGACGTAATAGACATAAACAAGAAAATACGAAGATTATCTCGAGGGTTATAAAATTTCCTTAAACACACCGCGCGTTCGCGCGTTACGAAAGACACGCCTATAAGTCTTATGCGAGTACTTTGTTTCTTGAACGAGCGTAATAAAGTAAATTGCTCTTTACATTTAAGAGGCGAGATGCGATAAGCGTGCTCGCAATTTAACAGTCATACCGCATACTATATTAATAATAGGCGTCTTTAAATTATGTAATTTACATAATTGTTCAATTTTTCTTAAAGAACACAATCTTTACACTTAGAAGATTCTTACACTTGACAAAAATGATATTATTTGCGATTTTAAAACGTCTTCACGAAAAATTACAATCTCGCAATTTTCTTTATCATTGCTGATCTTTCATTTTTTGTAACAGTTTCTATCAGGTCGTGATTCAAAATATCAGTTTTATCATATTATGAGGAAACGGACGGGAATCCGCAGGTGTTGCATCTGTGACTAACAAGGCGGCGAGTTCGCGAAGAGCGTGCATATGCGAAAAATTTTGCAAGTGACGTACACCAGCATATACATCAGATGACGAATGGCGGTTAGAATTACACGATTGCACGGGGTGCTCCGCATAGCGATACGTTCGAGGTCGCGATGCATTGTCATTTCGTTCGAAAGCACGCGGAAAGCCTGAAAATCCCGAGCAGACTTGGCAGACGTTGTGACAAGCGATCTCGTGGATCTTCTCTATCGACTCGTTGCAAAATAGAAAAGAGAGCAGATGGAAATAGAGAGCGGCATCAGAATCTGTGACCCTTTTCGCAACAGCTGGACAAACTTCGCAATCTCAGACTGAATTTAATTATATTTAATTGATTTAGGTTACACCGCGAAAATATTTTTGTTATCACGTTCCATTTCAGCGTTGCGGATTGAAATTTTAAATATGTCTACGTAAATAGAAGCGTGTTATAAATAATTACATTTCGTTATAATATATTGACTAATTTGTAATATATATTACTAAAAAAAAATTCCGATTTAGCGATATAAATCTATGCAAAAATATAATTAAAAATCAGCTTTGGAGTAATCGGCGAATTAAAGAATATCGATATGCAAAATTTTGCGAATGATACAGAAATATATATATATCTACTTCTGTCGCATAAGTAAATTAAATAATAAGATTTCCCTGATAAAAAGGATATATAATATGCATTCGCTGTGAAACTACATCCGTAGTAGTATCAAGCTGATCGAAAATGCTGTCACTTCAACTTTCTAGACATTACCGACTTCTCGCAGTTATTACTTTATTAATATATTTATATCATGCATAATATCGCAAAATAACACTATAAATATTAATGTAAAATTTCATGCATATATTAAAATATAAAAAAATGCAACCGCGAATAAAAATTAATTCATTTGTATATATTAACTCACCCTGAAAATATTAAAATATTAAAAACTTGTTAACGACACACAAATATAAAAAATTATGTATATTTTATTATAGTTATTTATGATCCGATCGCAGAAAAGCAATACATCTCTTTTTTTGTGTTCATTGTGATTGTAGGTTTATTAGACACGTCAGTGGGATTTTTCATTGCAATAATCGAATATGCATTTCTATTGGGTCGTGTACTTCCGCTGCTGACGTACGAGTCGACGATCATCGCATCGTAAGAAAGCGCGAGGATGCACGCGAGAAAGTCAAACACGTGCTACTGACATACAGGCTCGTCCAAAACATATTTTATCGATTTTGCGAATATCATGTCTATGAATAAAATATGACTACAAATCGAATCATCCTGCACGTAAATTTAAAGTTTGCTACGCGAAAACTTATACGGTTACTTGAATACGAAATAAGAACTTCGAGAAAGAAGACATATTGATGCACGAACACAGCGTTCACCAATATATGGAAAAAATATCGGTATAAACCGTAAAAAATATTCTGATTTAAATAAGGATTTAAAGTGAAACACCGATAGCTCTCTTATATTAAATTTTTCAAACATTATGAAAATACACAAATGCATACTAATAGAATTACGAGCTTAATATATTATTATAAATAATAATAATATTATAATGGCTCAATAATGATAAATAAACATAAATATTAAAAAACAAACGTTAAAAATTTTTACGTTAAATTCTATAATTTGGCTACTCGATTATAAACTCGATTATGAATAGCTACAAATATTTCCTTAATTGTTGCTTGTACTTTTAGAAAAATATCACAAAAGTTTCGAGAGCATTTTTGAGTCACTCGGTAGGAGATTCGCAATAGAAGAGGACTATTTATGACTACTAGCGGCACTTCGGCCAAAAATAGACAAATACATATAAGTTTTCAACCCTTGCAACGTGTCATCATTGGCAAGATTTATCATTCTCTCTTTTCCGTCTCTTCTCCCAACAATAAAAATATTGCAACAATATATTTCAAGTCCTATTCAGAAATAATAAAGATATTCTGGATTTTGCCAAGAGAGAGCCAGGAATATATTCGATTCCATTCACGGCCGGAAATTTATCTGTCAGAAACGCATTCTGGTGAAAAGTCTAGTCACAGTTTCCCTGCCTCGATTATTGATATTTCTTATCAATATTTATTTCTTTCGACAATGAATCATAAGTCGTAAAAACACGAATTTTGTTGTGGCTGATAATAATTTATGAGCGTCCAAAGATTAGCGAAACGAATGTTAACAGCCGCGCTGAAAAGCGCGAACCTCACTCAGAGAAAAAAGTCGTATCAGTCACTATAAATTTGTAGTGAAATAGTACATCAACTATATACATATTATTAAATTCTAATAAGAATACTAGATTAAGTGAACTAAGAAAATATAGTACATTAACCATATAAACAATTTATAAATGGTTAATATTACTATATTTCCTTAGTTCACTTAATTTACTTATTGTTCTTATTAAAGCTTTATAATACATAGTTACAAATTTGTGTATGCATTTCTTATTTATTTTTGTCTTCCAAGTTTGAAACCAACGCTGCGCCTTTTATCGTAAGCTGAGTGGTTTCCTTCTTAGGAGAAACTGAACTCCGCTACGTCCCTCTGGTGACAAAGTACTACTCGTACTGAGCGACACTTTAAAAATTTTTGTCTAAACTAGAAAAATGTAATTGTTATATCTATTTGCATGAAGTCCAAGTAACTACTCAATGTAGTTGAGTCACTATTTCAGTATTAATTAATAGTGCATACAATTTGTTACAGTGACTATATTTTTATATAATATTCAGCACTACTTTAGTTTCTATTACTTTGTAAAACTAGTTACAGGTACTTCAATTGCAAAAGTTGCCAAATTTATAGTTGCTGGAACTATTTCGTTTTCTCTCAGTGCTCGAGTTTACGATTTTAGCGATAGTTGGAAGAAACTGTGTCTAAGATTTATATTGTTTTTCTAATGCATTGACATGTTCGAAAATAGAAAATTCAAAATAAGAAAAAAGGAACGAGAAATGCATTTTAAAAAAAGAAGATTAGAAATAATATTTTCGTAACTATCTCGATAACTGTTTAATTCTCCATCTGCAATCTGAGTCTTTTTTGGCAGAAGCGAAATTTCTCTAAAATTTCTCCAAAATAAAGAAATGCCCCTTTCTAAAATATCTTGTTAAAAAAAATTATGGTAGTATAATAGAGATGTTGAAAAGTAAAGTTGAATTTTTTCTTCATTTTTTTGAAAGCCTAAAACAGTTAAAAACCGGGTTGAACGAAGGGAATAAAAATATGATTGCGGATGAAGATTTAATTCTATTATTTTCAAGTCGTATGTGAAACATTCAGAATAAATGTTTATCTCGATATTTTAATAGAATCTGCGGATCATATATAAGACTTCTCATAAGGTCAACGTATAATTAGTGATATTAAGCGGTTTTATATAAAAAGTTAATTCTCGTGAGTTTCTTGAAGATTATTAGTATTACCAAAGTATTAGCATTTTTGTAACATAATTATTTGCGACGATAATTATAGACTGGTTGAAAAATTATGTAAATTATGATTTTATCTAAATATTATGAAACAAACCTTGCTTGTTTATAAATAAGAAAATGAGAAAAACAAAGATATTCAGGTTTTAAAAAACAAAATATCTCTTTTATAAGTAATTAATAATTACTTCCTGATAAGTAATTTTGTAATTCTTTCTAAGTGTCTTTGTAAGTGTTGTCTCTCGTTCAACTCGTCTGCGCATGAACTTACATTATCAATATCTCATAATTTAGACCTGTTACAATGCAAATAAGCTTGATAATCGCATCCGTCGTTCCCAAAAAGAAATTTGTCTTTAATTTACTAAATCGCAACCGACAATATAATTTGAACTTTATGTAATAAAATTATGTAATACTTAGAATCTCGTGTTGCTTCTTCTTCGGATAATCAAGTTATTTCTAAAAACTAATTATACATATAAAAAGTTATATTGTATTAATAATTCAAAAATTAACAATTATACGCTATCATTCAATTAACAATTATACCCCATCTTTCAAAGAACTCGCTTCTATAAATTTCTTCATTATCATTCTACAAGTTTTCTACTATTTTTTCAAAAATTTTATCCAAATAACAAATAAAAAAACCTCATGAATTTTCGCAATCAATTGTCAGGTAAAATTGCACATTTTGATTAGTCGTTAATATTAACTTATGATAATCTGCCACTAATTAATTCACAACAATCATGAAATTCAAACGGATACTCACCAAAGTGTTCTGATATCCCAATCCATACTCCTCGTTCTCTCTTCGACTGAAAGATGCCATTTTAATTTGTTATCTCACGAGAATGACTATCTTGACAAATTTTTTAATCCCCATAAAAAATCGTTTCTAAAAAAAGGTGGCGAAAACGTCAGAAAAAAAAGGAAAGATGAGTGTGGGAAGAATCACAGATGAATCTAGCGTTTTTTCCGAAAAACTGCGCCTCTCTGGGAGGGTGGAAACTCAAAAAAGATGAAGAAAGTTTGGTCCACGATTAGTTCGTCAAAGATACCGGATCTCCTTCTTCTTCGTCGTTCCTTCTCTTTGTAGCGGCGGCAATTCATCGATGACACTCTTCACTTTGGATGCACAACAATCAGCGTCATAGAATGATGTTTCTCGGTGTTTCTATTTTCCTGTCAAAAATTTCGGAGCTCTCATTTTTGACCGAGTGTCTAGATTTGCGATAGCCGACAACAAAATCGCATGAGAATCGAACGAAAGGTTAATGCAAAAAAAATCTTCCCTGTCAAAGTAAAACTCTGGCATACGAAAACATCAAATGTTATTGTTTAACATAAGAATTGTCAATTATTAGTCGGATTACGGAATTCGTGTTATGGTACAGAACACGAATGGTAGAAATCAGTTGTTGGAGCAGCAATTCGCTTATACGTTCTTCACCTCAATAGCTTCCAATCGACACCGTTAACTTCGTAAGTTACTCCGAATTTACTGCACCGATAAAATCACATTTCAGATAATGATCTTGTCACTTGCGAGTATTTCGTTAAATTATTAATTCATACACATTTTCGAATTATTAACCACGCGACGAAAAATGTCAAATCCAATTGAATCTCTCACGCATGCAAGATTTAAATCACGAAGACGACGCGGTTTTGAAGAAAACGCGCGAAAAGTGCTACAACGATCACGTGGACATCGTCGCTAATTTTCGCAGCGCGAGAACAGCCGCGAGCAAAAGATAAAGAAAAGCTGAAAATATCGTCCAGTCACTGTGCAAACACCGGTCTGTGCAGCACGATCGGCCAGCAAACGCGACGAACTCGACTCGTGTCCCGACGACACGGACTATAAAATATCGAATCCAATGGTCGAACCTGCGTTTTTCGATCGACTCAAAACGTTATCGTCTTCGAACATACGAGATGGACTTTCAAACTAGTAAATATTGACGCCGAGGACGTTTTGCGAGCCAAATAAGCTCGTTACGATAGTGGCACGCGAATAACGTAACCCGACAGCGTTATCGCTCTGCGCAACGAAGTTAAAAATTTTCTACTTCACTTCCGAAGTTAAAAATCTTCTACTTCATTTCTGAACACTGAGAAAAATTTCTGGTTGAAAACGAACGAACCAGAAGATTACAGTTCTGATTATGTCAACTCAAGAATTCAACTAGAAAATGAGAGACTGTTCTTCCGTGAAGTATTTCGCGAAATTCTGTTTGGACGAAGATCTCAAAATGTGGACACTTTCAGACAGACGTATACGTGAAAATCGTTAAACTATCGAAATAATTAACACTCTTAAAAAACTCTTTCTCTGGGAGATGTTTTATTTAAAAAAATCCGTGTCTCTCTCCGAAATTACCGATTCGGAGCAGAGAAGATTAGGCAAAATTATCTTCCAAGACGTCGCCTGGAACTTCGAGTCGCTCGTATGAGGAAACGATAATATCACCCGGATCCGTGAACGTGGTTTACCTCGCGGAGTGCGGGGCTTTTCAGTCAAGGATCGTCGATCGTCGCGACTGCGGCGCGAAATCGCTTGTGACGGCGAGACGCAGCGAGCGCGCGCTTCGCGAGCGCCTCTGACTGCCCGGCTGGACGGTCGTGAGCCGACTGATAGGTGTATGAATGAAGCGGCCGAGATTTCAGTCACTCTCTATGTTTGCAGGAAATTCAAAATCCTACATCGGCGGCAAACGGCGACGGTGGCGAAGACGATAGTGGGTGTCGCCGCCGTCCGCTTCTTTTATACGATCGATTCCTCGGATTCGCGCCACGCTCGCTGACGTAAAATCGCGTAACGAGTTGCCGCGCTCTCGCACACTATCGCAGCAAAATTTCGACGCGGTTTTGCTGTTTGCGGGAAACACAGAGATCACGTGGATTTCGCGACTTTCGGGTGTCGACGAGGCATCGTGCGAGGGAAGAAACTTTATTGTACGATTTAAATCGCTAATTTTATTAGTTAATAATCTTATGTTCTTATTTTCTTAGAAATCATCTCTTTGAATTCTTCGGAGTGAAATTTCAATCTTTAAAAGTGTGAGATTTCATTATTTAGAGTGTCATTCATTCTAAAAGCTTTAGAGAGAATTTAAAAAAAAAATTAATTCTGCAATAAGCACCTCGCTTCGATCTTTTGCACCGCCATTGCCGATAAAATCATAAGCGATGGTTCACAAGATAGTACCAGATAGTACTGCAAATCATAACTACAGTATTATACTGTCAAACGTTTCTTCTATAAACACGACTGATAATATTAACGAAAGACTCGAGCGACGATAAGAATAAACATCATTCGTATCAACTTGAAAGCGGGAAAACGAGAGGATTGACATTTCCCCGTGAATGTTTAATTCGATGGAAAGAGCGTAATTTGACTTTATCAAAGACGATGCGAGAATCCCAACTTTAACGTATCTAATGAGTCAGGCTGTGGGCGATGACCTTTTCTTTTTCCACATGCCTTCGTCGTTTCGCTCGCACGCGATTTAAAACTCCAATAGTGCAAAAAGTATTTGAACAGGAGAGATATCTTTAAAAGAAATTTTACTTTTAAAAAGTAAACATTAATTTGCAATTTATTAAGAAAGCATAAAATAGATTGTATGTTTCTCTAAACAATTTTACCTAAAAATATGTGTAATAATTAAAACATTATCTTAAAAATGAGCGAAAATAAAATTTTTTTATGTAGACAAAAAGTATTCGTATAGTCGAAAAATTTAGTTTTTAAAATTATGAACATGCAATCTGTTTTTTTACGTTAAGACAGGATGTACTCATTGTATAAAATTGCTAATTAATATTTATTTTCTGTAGATCGGGTTTTTTTAAATAAAAATTTCGTTTGAGTACGTTTTGCATTCACTGTAGTGAACGTTATACATACAAAATATGAGTGATCGGCCTTGACCGTCGCGAATTCGCCGAACGATTCGCGAATATATGTTGATTGAGACGAGAGAACGATATTAATTGACCATCAAAGGGACACGATAATTTTGCCTTTCACATAACGTTTTCGAGGTCGTCGACGACACTTCCGATCGCGATCAGATGATTGAAAAGATAAATAGTAAGAATGTAAGCCGATAGCGATCGATCACGCTCTGCTTCCTTTGTTATGAAGATATCTCAATTCTCAGATTATTTCTGTGTATATCGAGTTATTTTAACGCGATACATATAAATCTACATGAAATATTAATGCGCGTTTTCACCAAGATAGATTACACCAAGTTTGCTCGCCATAGTTTCCACCAAGAACCCCCAAAATAGATCAACTTTAATCTTGCCTCAACTTATTATTCGTCTTTTTCTAATCTTGAGAATCAGATTACTTTTATTTTCAACGACGTCGTACTGTTAATAAGAAGAACTTATATCTTATATATAAATTAATTTGAAATGTTATTAAAATTAATTTAAGTTGGTAGAAACAAGTATCTATAAACTAAATTAATAACATTTCAAATTAATTTATATATAAGATATATAAGCTTCTTATCAACAGTATACGATGTTTGAAAATAAATAATGATCTGATTTTACTTAATGTGACAGCGAATATGTTACGATCATACATATGTATTATGTAGAATATATAAGTTTTGCATAATTTATATGATAGTGAAAAGAACCGAATACTTCTTTGTATTCGTACGAACTGTGCTACTTTGGTATCCGTTCATTAAAGGTTTACCCCCCTTCTATACATACGCACGCTTATCGTGCACCTGCATCGAGTGTAATTTTTTTCTGTATCTTATAATGCAATTGACGCCGTCTCGCATTTGATTAAACAAACCTTCTCCTTCCTCCATAAGAACGACCCTGAATTTTTGAACTTTAGCAACGCAGAAATTGCTTATAGACGAATATGTATAACATTTCGCTCTAATGAAATCGACATTGTTTCGAACCGCGGAGCGGAAGGCGTCGAGGCATAAATATTTATGAGTGACCGATATTTTCTAGACATGTAATCGATGTAAAATCCGAAGGGGAATCCACAGTAAAAATATGCGGTTTGCGGATCATCGTTGTTGTTCAGCGCGGTACCCGTTTTTATGCTGAGAAACGTGAAGTGACTCATACAATATTCTTAACTACTCCAAGACAATTTGACATGGTGCTGTCGGAGAAGGAAATTATGACAATTGCGTAGGATATAATTACTTTATAAAAAGAACTGCAATTTCGCTCGGTCTATTTTCAATTACGTGTGATGGAACGGATGGCAGGAGGCTGGAAGAGAATCGAGATATTAAGAGAACTCGCTTGGAAAGAGTACAAACATTATATATATTATATATAATTCATATAATATAATAAGCATTGCTGTAACAAGATTAACATTATAAGAATATCCCAGTATTTATTTTATTTTCTTTAAAAAAAGGAAGGCCACTCGTATTAATACTGGTTGTTAGTCTAATAATCATGTGGACTCCAATATAATAATAAGTCTCAAAAATATGTTCTCTTTGTTCCCAATTTTTGTGCGGATGACATTACAAACGTATAATTCACATTCGCGCTTCATCTAGATCCTAGCAGTTCCCCTTGTACGTACTTTATCAAATATATAACTTATCCTAAGAGAGAAGATGGTTGTTCGGTACGACACCGTGTCTTTCCTTTGGTACAACGCTATCATTTTGGAGCATTATCAGAGTTGTCTGAAGACGAACTTGGCACAACCGAAGCTATCACAGAAATGAAGAAAAAAAAACAAATGTTACTATGCAGTGATCAAAGGCGTTAACGCCAGATTCGTAAGTCTGTGTCGTGTACTCACCAATAATGATGATTAAAATTATAACACATATGATGCCAAGGATAAGCATCATTTTCAGATTCTTCCACCAGTACTTTCGTTTCAATTTGCCAGCATGTTGTTCGAATTGCGTTGCACCCTGTTGTAAGGCATCTGCGCGGTTTTCGAGTTCCGAGAGCTTCTGATCTCGCTCCAGCACTTTCTCCACGTTAACCTTCATTATACCTACGACTTCATCTACAGTGGCCTGAGTCTGCTGTAGTTTCTTGCTTGCACCCGCTTGCTGGACGTTGTGTGGTCCGCCCATTTCTCCTCCTGCACCGCCACCCTCCATAGTCCTGAAAAAATGACAAGGACTCCTTCTGACTAACCTGTTCCACACCAACACTATCTCTGCGCGAACGTTTTGTCAATTTACGACCATCACATCCATAAGATCTCAGATAGAATAAAATAAAATAATATGAAGAATACGAATCCCTTTGCAACAAATTCCAGAGAAATCAACAAAATAAATAATCCAACAGGTACACGCCCATAACCTCAAAAATCATGCATATGTTTCTGAACAAACTCTATTTATACGTTTATCAACCTACGTAATAGTCATCGCTCAGTCTTGTTAATAAACAAAGAGGACCTGCATACGCAAACATGAAAATACGATGGAAATACGATTACGAAAAATAACAAATGACAAGTTTAATCGTCAGCATTACATCGATGATCTCGCTACAATGATCTCGATATCGCGTAATATGGTACACTTGTTTTGTTTCTTACTCACCTATAAATATGTCAAATGCACGGACAATCGAGGCTAATTAAATCTGCAAGGCACGATGATATCTCGCAAATTATTTGCGATGACGGCTACCAGTTTACAACAACAGCGGATGACACGGATCAAAGATGGCGATAATTATGACGTCACGGTTATTATAACGTGTTCAGGCATTTACCAAAAAAGGAATAGCAAAAAGGCACATTATTGTGTCTACTCGATCGAGAATCGCTTTTCTCGATTTTATATACCGTTAATACAATTTAATATTTATTAATCAATTATAATATCTCGTGGACTGTCGTCATTGATGGTTTGTCAAAATAGTGTCTACCTACGCCATCTAAAAGCGGCAATGCGATTTATCTTGTCGGTAAAAACGGTAGTCTGCCGAACTCGACGATACATCGAGTCTTGTTCGCGTTGCTTGAAATCCTCAAAAATTTTTGCACTTCAAATGAGATAGTTGTTTATAATTCGGGCATTAAAGCGAGAAAAAGCGAAGATGCTGAGTCCAAAAAGTGCAAGGAACGTGAACAGATCTACACAGTGTCAACATTACGTAGCAATAATTAATGTATAATGGTGTATAGTTATTATAAAAAAAAATGAATCTGAATGGAGTAATTAAATCACATTTATTATTAATCGTATTTATAATGATTAATGGAGTTAAGCTATTTATGACGATTCAACGTGCGATTTATTATTGCTAAAAAAATTTATATACGAATATTTAACACACTCTTGTTATTCTCATATTTCAAAAATTTTATAATGTACATTTAAAATATACAATTAAAATATATATTTTAAATTTTCGAAATATGAAAATAACAAGCATACGTATTAAATTTTCGTATAAATTTAACAATATTGCTTGCTTGTTGTATATTTAAAATATATGTTATAATATATTGTAAAATATATTTAAAATATATGAGAATTGCAAGCGTAATTAAACATTTTAAATATACAATTATAATGTATATTTCAAATGTACTGTTTAAACTTTATAGTATATTTAAAATATTCTCCCTCGTAAAGATACATTCAGATCGAGCGAATGATAAAGCACGAATGAACATGAATCAATATTCTGCGATGAAACAAGTTTTTATTAAAACAAGTCATTTATTCTGCTCAGTCTAGATCCATCACATATTTACGTATATAGATCGATACTAAACAAAAGGATACTGAACAAAAAAGCATTTTAAACAGTATTTATTTCTATTAATAACGTTAAATTGAATTGAGGCTGAACTGTACATTTTAAAAAATTTACTTGCATGATATTCTAAGCATCCATGCTTTCGTCGATCAAAAAGTAAAGTTAATAATGCTAATATATACATAATAACTTTATCGTATGTACAAATTTAATATCTTATAAGACCAACATGTACACATGCAAAAGATATGTGCAACAGACAAAATATTTTAGCAACAATACTGTTGCTATAAAATCTGATGATAGTAGAATAATGTAAAAAAAATAAAATAGCACAAAAGACAGTAAGAAAAACGAGATTTTGTGAAGAGTATATATAATGAACTATGAAAGGTACGATATGATAAATCAAGCAGCTTGGAATGAAGACAACAAAAAGGAGACTTTTAATATTTGTTGATAACATTCATCGAATGTTAAAATATTTGATGGCAATATTAAAAAAAAAAGGTTGATTCGGAATTTTATGGATCTAATAGCGACTCAACAAATAAGTTGAAACGTTATTTATTGTAATTTTGACGTCAAAATGACAAAAAATAATTTTAGCTTTCCAGATAGAATACAAAGTTATAATTAAGTCATAATAGTATCATAAAACGTCATCATGACGTCATTTGATATTAAAATAAACTTACAAGAACAAATGAGGTCGCGATGATATCCTTATAATTTTATTACGACTTCTGTGTTTTACTTCGCAACACACAATAAAAGTCGATAAAAAATCAAAATGACTTAATTTTTTTATTACTACTATCAATAAACAGTCAAATTTTATGACTAAAAATTATAATTTTGACTTTTATAACTTTTATAAATCAAAATAAAATCATTTTAACTTTCTCGTGACTTGGTGTGTTTCTTATGTTGAGTTGTTTGTTGGGAATGTTTGAAGTATGCGAAATGAAAATCAAGAATGTTATGTCGCAACAGTGAAATCGATTCGATTCTCCTTAAAATATGTTGTTAAACACAAAATCTAAAAAATACATGTTTTTTTATATCGATCCAATCTTAGATTTAAGGGATGAAACAATCCCTCAAAGTTAACGCTTATGCATATTTAATTCCTATCAATTATCAGTGAAACGATGAGATGTACAAAAAAATGTTTTAGACAAAATTTTTATGGTTTTTTTAATATACTTTATAATTGTGTCTTTAGATTTTTCGAAAATCAAATATTTTGAAAAATTCTATATTCATTAATTTTAAGAGATTGTTCCACCTTAAATCTAAGAGTGGGTTGATATAAAAAAAATACGTGTCTTTGTGTTTAACAACATTTAACAACATTGCAAGGAGAATCGAGTCGGTTTCGAACAGTTTTGACGGGCTTTTTGTCAGTCGAACTCAGTCTCGAAAATTGCTACGTCTAAACATCGCAATAACGACGCAAGTAGCCGTTTCTCGCTGAAGAAAGTGAAAGCTTCGTCTCGCAAAACCCTACTTACCACTACGAGCTGCCATAATCGGTCGTACGAGTAGTAACGCAAAAGCATCTCCGACGCCATGCTGTCGTTCACCGTGACACCGACATGACTCACAACGAACATCGCGACGATGGCATAAATAAAACATCTTGCGGATGCCTGTGCGCGTATTCGTACCGCGTCGTTACAGGAACGTATGCAAGGAGACAAGGTTCCAACTTGCGGGGTGCGATCCAATCGTATTCAACCCTCAATGCAACGACCAACGCGAAATTAAATACTATTGCTATCCACGATGAATCTATCAAATGCACAAAACAGTCTCGACATTTAAATCTACTTTGCCGTGTAGAAGCAAGAATTCCACAATTATTCCACTCTCGTTGGAACGCGATTGCTTCCATTGTCCTCTCACAAAAAGTGAAAACGAACAAGACCGCACAATTAAACAGATCAGTTTTTCTTGCTTTTTACGTGCGTTTCGAGTAGAACAATTTCGGACTATTTATCGAAGTAAAACGGAGCCGAGGAAACGCGGGTGGCACCCGATGCTCTCGGAAACGTTCCTGACGGTCGTGTAGGGTGTGTTCGCGCATGGGGGTTGCGAGGCGACATCGCGACCATTTATCGACCAAAGTCAGGCGCACGTGCGCAATCGGCGAGGTTGGCGTGTCGTCCGTCGACCCTGCAGTCTCGAGAGATCGACTCTCCGTGTGATCACCGTGCTTTCGAAAGCACTTTCCCCGCGTTGGCCGATCCCCAGGTGTCTCACCCGGGAAATCGATCTATTGCGCGATCGAGGGTGCTTTCACGAGCGGTCGAGGCGTAGAAAAACGTGAATAAAACGCTTCGCGACGAATGCGGAGATGAAAATCAAAGTTCGAAGGTGAACCATCGAGATATATCGCTCGGTCGCACGCGTGCGCGACGATATCGCACGGCGGCGTGCCTCCTGGAAATTTTATCAATACCGCAGCGGCCATCTAGTCTTGCTGGCAGTCGCTCGCGAAAAGTTACGCGCCGAACGCCGAACGACCGACCGGGGGTGTCGCCGAGCAAGCCGATCGACAAATCGACCGGAACAGAAAGAGCCCGAGGCGATCGACTACTAGCAGCATGTGAGTACACGTGATAATAATACGAGCTACGAACGTTCGCATTCCGAAGGAGACTGCGAACGAGACCCCTGGTAGAAATCCGAAGGTCCTCCGCGAAGACATTGCGAGGATGAAGTTTCTACCATTCGACCCGCGATGTCGATAAATCGTAGACGGAAAACAGCGAGTCTTTCTTTCAGCCAGTTTCGACGAACGAATAGTCTCTAAAGACGACATAATTGTGAAATCGTGCTAAACGGAGTAATTAAGGTGATGCACTTTGTGTTAGACTTCGCGTTGCGGTACACCGAGTGCAATTTCCGGATGCGCTACCTACTGAAACATACTCATTGACGAAGTCTCGCGATTATCAGGGATAACCGAGCGTTATAAAGATCAAAATCGGGATGATGATATATTTCTAGCTTCGCGCTTGTACGATGATACAAATGGCGATTGTGTCGTGGAGCTGCATCGAGAGTGAATTCCGTAGCCATTCCGTAAACGAGTCGAAAGCATTAACGTAATTGTGTCTCTTTAAGGGGGAGCCTCTACACACAAGGCTGTGACGCATAACTAGATCAATGAGTGATTAGAGTAGAACGGTGACTATATTCCGTGCTCTATCGCGCTCGGCCGCGATTCAGCCGCGAAAAGCAGTTCAACGAGAAGGTGCGGCGATCGATGGAATTTTGCGGGTATGAATGCGCAAAACCGCATAAGAATCGCGTAAGGAGCCCGCGACGACTCGATGAAGAGGGCGAGAATCGCTGTTGCTGCGGCGGCGTTAGTAAGATGGGTTTTAAGACGCAATTGCCGCGGCTTGTCGCCGCCAATCGATTCTCCTCGCACGACCCGCGTCCGTCCGCGGCAGAATTTCCGATAGAGTGCAACGGAGCTCGCGATGCCCGACACCGTATATCTACTTTCAAGAGAAATTAATCGAAACGCAGCCTACAACTGCCGCGATTCTTCGAACTTCTCGAGGGATGCACCATAATGTACTGACCTCATCCGACGCGAATCTTTTATCTAAAGAGTAGAATAAGTGGTGGAAAAAGTATTGACGAAACGGACACGTCGCGTGAGAATTTTTCCGTATTTCTATCGTTTATGTTACTTCACTGAGAGCAAAAAAATGGTTGCAATTATCATAATTTAATTATAATTTATAGTCATTTTTTGGGACAACTATATATTTATAGTTGTTTTAACCATGCAAATATACTCAATTGTGCTGTTAATAATAATTATACGCACTGCTGGTAAATTTTTAATTTGTTTAAGTACATTCTATATAATCGGCTTTCCAAATCAAAATAATAATTCAAGGAGCGTATAAACCAACGCGAGATATTAATGCAATAGTCTATTTTTCATATATAACTATAACATAATGATGTACGTTTCGACCTTAGATTACGTCATCTTCAGTATCAGAACAAAATTATAAACTATCTATTTTTAGTCTTACATATGAAAATCTTATATATGCAAAATAGACTATTGCACTAATATCTTGCATTAGCTTTTATGCTCCTTAAATTATTATTTTTTAAATATATTTTTTTTTTATTGTTATCATATAAATAGTAAGTGAATTTAAGAAAATGATTATATTCGCTATAATTACGATTGCATTTACTAGATAAAAATTTTTATTTTATTTATTATTTTAATATATCTTGATTTTTTATTATATTAATATTTTAAATTATCATAATTTATAGTATAACTTTTTCATATTTGAAAAAATTACATACGTGATTATTATTACTAACATTACAACAATAATAACCATAAAAATGGAGCTGCTAACCATAATTATTTTACTATACAATTATAGTCACGAATACCAAATACTTTTTTCTTAGTGTTCGTGTTTCAAACTCGTCATTGACTTGTGTTAATTATTTTACATTCTGATGGATCATTTATACGTTTATTTATTTATTTGTTAATGACGGTAATAAAGAAAACTAGACACGGTAATCGAATAGTATATAGCACGATAGAACTACTTTAATTAATCTCGCTTCTGAACGCAGACTGTTATAGCTCTCTATTTCTCTTTCTAACTTTTCTCATTATGACCTTTCGCATCCGGTTTCCAGCCACCCAGCTCGATTATACGCAATACTCATTCAGCCAATCGTAGGCGTATTTATCGTTATCATCTGCTCGAATATTTCGCGATCTTGGACGATCTCAATAGAGGGGTGACTCAAGTAGAATGATTTAACTGTCGTCTATCGTTACGACGCCTACACGTCGTTGGCAAGTAACTATGGATCTTTCGAAGGACACGTGATAATTTCGAGTCGCTTTACAGTCGCAATGCGAATTGCGGGGGAGATTGAAACGCGATATCGAGCGCGTTATCGAACCTATTTTATCCGGCGAATTTCTTTGTTTGTTGAACAATTGCGATTAAAGTAATCGCGATCGACGCGATCATGATTAATTATCGCGCGTTTCTTTGCGCATTTTGCGACGTGATCGTCGAGTACCTAATTGTGATCATATACGTACGCATATATATATGTATAGTCGAGATCAATCGCGCGAAACGCGGTGCACTGCTAGTACATGTCGGCTCGCAGTTTCTATATTTAGTGATGAGCACATTTACGGCAATGTTCTACGGCTTTGCTAGACGGAAAGGTGCGCGTTCGTAACTTACACACGCGTTGCAATCCGGGTGGCGAACAATGAACCGTTCGCCGGATTGTTCGATCAGAGACGACGGTATGAATCCTCGGAGCGGTGGCGAACTACAATGTACCGACTACAATTTTGTCCTTGGAAAGTTCCGATTTAATGGACTATATAGAGAACTACTACTTCCTTTTAACACTTCCTGAATTATTGAAAAACTACTGGTAATAAAATTTTTGTACCGAATTAATATCTCACATAAACTCGACGATTTTTAAAATAAGTAATTTATGATAAAAATTTGCTATGTTAATTTCATGCATTTTGCACTTTATATATGTTACTTTCATTATTTATTTTAAATTTCTTACAAGTATAAATTTTTTGTCTCTAACGGTACTGAATGAATTTCTCATCAAAAGAGTACAAATAAAAAGCAAAGTATAAAAAAATGTTAAGCTTACTGTTCTACGCAGTATAATGCAAATCCCATAAATATCCACCGTTCAGCGCGAGTTATACTAATCTAATAACAAGAATGAAGCAATATCCGCGATCGATGTATTAATCCCATTATGTATCCTATTTTACGTCATGGGGTGAATATTTCTCGGCATTTGCGCACACAATTCATAGCTACGGCGATCGGATAATATTTCGATACATGTCAAACAGCTATATTGTAAAATAAACAGTAACAACAGAAATTTTTATATTACATCAGAAAACATTTCAATAAATAAAAAAATTTATTCGTATTTTTAGAAACAAATCCTTTTATCAATCTTGCGATAAGTAAATATATTGAAACAATCAACAATAACAGGAGAAATTTTCGAACCGTGACGAAAAAGTATTCGACAATGAGCAACCAAATTGCAATGGAAATATCGCAAACATTCAAACGCAATAATGATATAATTACGCAATTTAGAATAATTACTAAATACAATTGGTATAATTACTCAGTTTTAATTGAGTTAAAAATAGACAGATAGATAAGAGAATATAACAGTATGAATTGCTGATTGTATCAATTATTCTGTTTATAATTCGACTAAAACGTATTACTGGAATTGCGTCGAAATTTCGCGACAGATGCCGGACGACGGCGACCGAATATTCCGACGTTGCGTTCGACATCTCAATGGGAACGATATGGAGGAGAAGCACGTACGACTCTCCTGTATGTTAAACTATTCCCACCGACGGTATTCGAATAGGCGATCGATCGTCTGTTGCCACTCGGTCGTTCGATCGCTAGGCCAAAAATAAAACCCGCAACCCGTTGCCGACCGCTTTTCAATCCGCCATCGCGCGTAACCGGCATTTTTCCAAATCGTAGCATCGTAACTACGAACACGTACCACTCGTAATCTTCGTGATTTACGTCACGTGTAAATCCGCCGCAACAAGACATTTATACATATAGATAAGCACGGAGCTTCCTCTGCAAGAATTAATATAGATCCATCGATTTTATTACGATGTGATTACGTAATTTTTTCCTAATTTTATTTAGCCAATTAATAAATAGCTTACAACAATTCTTATCCTTATCGACCGTATTGTTGATATAAATTACAGCTTTTGTTCTTGTCGACGATCATTTAATTGATATAAAGAATACATTTAATGAAGATTTTATATGATGAAGAATATGGGATAATGGCATGTCGGAACAGGAATGGAAGATTTAATTATCCCGGTACATAAGTTGTTGAGTAATTAAATTGGCATTGCTCGAAGCAGTACCGCAAAAGGTCTCGCTCTGTCTCTTTACGAAAGGTCAAATAGCTTGTCGGAAATCCCATAGAAAAGAGATTTACAGAACGATCTGCATATCCATAACGTATACATGATTTTCCACCCAAGCATTTCCATATATAGTAGATGAAAAGGTCTGTGCGTCTAATCCTATTTAAAATAGCTTTACACAATAAAGGATGTTTCAAATTAATGCGAGATGTACGAGAAAAACATCTCCTTGAACAGTTAAATATTTTCAACGATTAATCAAAAGTATCCTAAATATTCCAAGTAACGACACATGCAAATCCATAATATATACATTAATTTCCCACCCTAAATATTTCTATATAAAGTAGATAAAGAGATCCGTGCATCTAATCCTGTTTAAAATGGTCTTAGGCCGGAATCAGACTACGCATTGAAGATTGAGAATGAAGATTGAAAAATTCAAATTTGACCAATCGAAACGAAAGGAGCTAAAATTTCTTTGTCCTTATTGGTCAAATTTCAATCTTCAATCTTCAACCTCAATCTTCAATGCATCTGTAGTTTGATTCCGGCCTTACACAATAAAGAGTATTGTTACAAAGTGTTTTTTTTTCTTATAAGTAATGTTTAAAATAAACACGATATGTAAGAAAAAGAAACATCTTAAATATTTTCGATTAATCAAAAGTATCATAAAGATTTAGCAAACGCATGTCTTCATCCAAGATCTTAAATGCTAATAAAGTCGTTTACAACGAACGATCGCGATCGTTTGACTTCAAATATTTGCGTGTAGGTGCACGTGCGTTCTGAATTACAATCTCCTGGGGTCACACGAGTAGCCGACATTATCAATGACCTTTTCTCTTTCCGTATCCGCTTATCCAACAAACACGTTTTAATCGTGAATGCGATGTGCCCAGGGAATGTACTTGCATCATTGTCGTGTCGTTGAATCTTTTTAAGAAACAAGTTGGAGGGAAAACGCATTGTCGAAGTAATACGCATCAAATTTTTGCTACTAAACGGTACAAATGGCGAAATCGTGTCATGAACTTTACCCTTTCGCGATGCTTTCCACCCGCGGCTCGATATGGGGAAAACCTCACGCAGCATCCAGCACCATAGGGCAACGATGGCATATAATTCCCAGCTTGCGCATTCCGGGATGAGCGACACCCACCCGCGTGTTTATTTCACTTTTAAAAGCTATCGAGGAGAGACACACGCGCGTACAGAGGGGATATACAAATAAATCCCACGCCGTGCGCAAACCGCAAAATACAAGCGTATCGATGATAAATACGCGTATTTGATAAATATACAGTTTCGACGGCGTGTTATACGGGTGGCCTAAAGATATTCACCTCTATCGGCCTTTATTTATCACAATATTCAATTTTCGAAAACATATTGACACGAGATACCGCACCAAGAAAAAAATTATTAAATTAATCGAAATTCTAGTTGAAAATTGATGAATCAGAATTTTCTGGTTAATACTCGTTTCTATCAACGTACAATAGTTTAAATCTGGATTCAACTAACTTTTCATCTTTTCCTAATTCTAAGAATTAGAATAAGATAAAGAATAAATTGAACCAAGATTAAGATTAATCTACATTGGTATAGAAATGAACATAAATCTACTAGAATTCTAGTTGAGATAATCAAAATTCTGATTGATATAATCAGAATCTTTAACTTCGTCATTTTTCTCAGCGTATGATTATTCTATTTTATTTTTTGTTTTATTATTATTGGGGGCATTAAATTTTGTCGATGTTATACCAACATTCCCGCGGGAAATGGTATATTCGTAAAGGATCGCGTATGTTTAACGTCCGATTGTATCGTAATAATACATTGAACGTGATAACGCTAATTGTCATCTTCTCGAAATCTTGTCTTTGTTCGCAGGGCTACGGAGGGTGGTTTAGCACCGGATGCAGCTGCAGGTGCAGGCGCCGGCACCGACGGCATCGTCGGTGGCCCCAGAACGCCCCAGCAAATTGCCTCGCAGAAGCGGCTGCAGGCGACGCAAGCGCAAGTTGACGAAGTCGTCGACATCATGAAGACAAATGTGGAAAAAGTCCTCGAGCGCGATCAAAAGCTCTCCGAGCTCGACGATCGAGCAGGTGAGATCCACTTTTCACGCAGCCAAAAATTCTGCGTTAAAAAAATCGACGGAGCTCGTTTTGATCAAAGTTGAAAATTTTTATTTAATCTTAGTCAACACTTAATCCCCTAAATTAGATTCTATTTTGCTAAATTGTGTGTACTTTATTTTATAATTATGCATATTGCTTCATTGTGCACACTGTACTTGCTCGCACGCGCGCGCTCATTAACACTGATGTAGTCATTAATTATTATATATGTCACTTGATTGTTCTGCTTTTACGTCAGGTACTTACTTATTCATGGTGAATATCATTTGTTGCACGTCGAGAAATTAATTAATGCCTTGGAAGAGCTTAGAAGAGCGAAAATATATGTCGCTGTATCTTCACATAAAAGAATATCATCCAAACTTTTAAAATGATGTCACGAATTGTATTGTATGCATATCACGACGCAATATTATATTATTATTCACGACCAATGTGTCGCTATGCTGAATAGAAGGGCTAAACAGAAAATACGGTCGTGGGAAAACTATACACCTTCCATTCATGGTATCGTGGCAATAAAGTAGTCCGACCCTGCGCGTCTGACTACACGTTGATATCGATTACTGTGACACGCTCGAATCGATGCTACGTTATGTGGCTAATGAATGTCGATCTTTTATGCAATTCGCACGTACTTTTATTATTGGTGTAAATATATACCTATTTTCGCACTAATAAATTACATTATTTTATACTCTCACTAAATGTTTGTGCATTCTTTTTCTTCTCAAATGAAGTTGCACTGAAAAAAATGTACTAAATTTAATCGTATTTTTTTTTAACAATATTAACTGTAAATAAATATTTATACTCAATAAAAAAAATGATAGTTAAATCAAATGGTTCCTGTACCAAATAAATATACATTTTATAGTTTATATTTAATAAATATTTAGTTAATATTGCCCAAATAAATATTTATTAAAATTTTTTTTTTCACTATACGTTGCCCTTATCGATTATTAATATTAGAAAACAGTTCTTATTTCGAGAATTCTTTTTTCTCGAAGTTATACGTAGACATATCTGAGATAAATCAGATGACACCTACATAATTGGCTTTTGCAGATGCACTTCAACAAGGAGCGTCACAATTTGAACAACAAGCAGGAAAATTGAAGAGAAAGTTCTGGCTACAGAATCTAAAGGTGAGTGTCAAATTTCATAAAAAAAAATATTTATGGCAATACTCAGAATATTAATAATAATTTTTCGGTTTGTTTTTTTTTTAACAGATGATGATCATTATGGGTGTAATCGGACTCATCGTACTGGCCATCATTGTCGGTAAGTGTTTCACTGATTCACTAACGTTTAACAGTTGTCGACACTGCCACTGTAACTGTTTAAATGTTCTGTGCCATCTCGTCGGTGTATATCTCGTCCCAATTTCGAGCGACTAATTCAGCGTTACTTCCTTGTTTTCATCATCCATTTGGACACGGTGAAAATGTCGACCGTTTATTTATAAATAAAAATCAATATTTCGAAATTAATATTTATATTTAGAAATTAATATTTATTTTCAAATTCGTATTCGATGCTGATAAATATAGATTTTTATTGGATAAACTGCCGTTTAGAGTTTATAGCTTTGACGGTGATCATTACATTACATTGAATCAGTCGTTCTCATCTAATGTCTCTTTGTCGATCTATACCCTTTGTGCTAAGGAAACATCTACTACGTACAGACGATTATGTTTGCACGATGCGAAATACGACGCGATGTGAAGTGAAATGTCCACGGATTTGCATAGCTTTTGAGAAATCCTTTCGGAGAGATCTCTTGAAGCTTCTCGAAGAAATGTGCCGAAACGAACTGTTTATCGTGCTTTGCCTGAAAATTACGTTGACTACTTGGCCTCATAATTCATCTTCACAAAACTTTACGAAAAATATCATACTCGCGAGCATCTTTTTTCTCTATATTACAGAATTCTTACTTCAAATTTTACAAAAAGTTCTACATATTTCCTAGCAATATCATTCTGCTGCATTTTATAACCGCGATAAATGAGAGTACATTACTTTTTTTGCAAGAACACGTCTTTATCGCAAGGAATATGAAATGCGCGAGAGACGCCACTATGTAGCGTGATCTGTCGGAAAAAGTGTCTTCCTTTTTTTCATTCATCATCTAACACGTGTGAAATGTATGTATTTCTCTTTTCCCGTCTAGCGAACTTCATGTAGGCGCGCTGATTGGTGGAAGAGATTTGTGTGTGAGTGAGTCTGAAGGTAGAAAGCAAAACAATTGCGATATTGCGTATCGTTGTTGTTTCTCACCCCGTTTCTCTTTTTTACTTGTGTCGTAGAAAATGTATATCTGAACCCGTACGTTTCTCCAATTCCATTTTCGTTGTTTATCGTCCGACACGTAAAAACTCCCCTCGTCCTGATATTTCAAAATTGTCTTTAATTTTGACAAATCACAAGTGCTGCCAGTTTTATAAAGAATTCACCGGATATTTTTTTCTTAAAAAAATAATAACGACTTCAATTGTTAACATTATTCTTATTCTCATAGACGTATTTTGTAATAAACTGTGATTATATTAATTACGATAATTGTGATATACAATTATCGTATTACTACTATAACATTTCATTATTATGATAGTTTTTTTTCCATTGGTTTTGTAAAAAAACGTGCAAGTGCATCCGCGCTTTTATAAAACTGGCATTTTTAGTCGATGTTTATGTATATTATGTCTGCCTGTGATAGGAACTTGCTCTATCTGTTGTTACGTGTATTCCCTATGTAAGAACTCTCCATCACTGCCCAGTGTCGTTGCATATTTATGAACTACTGATTTAATTGGGAAGCGTTCCAATTAAGAATCGCCGTGGCGGTACACCGCGAGCCTTCATAAATCTCCGACGACATCCTTCCTGACTTCCTTCTCTTATCACAACACAGCGTACAAGACAACATTAAGTGTAAACAGTATGTAAAAGTTGCCGTCGTGTATCTTCTCGCTAGGAACTTTCTCAGCATTTGGTCCGACGTTTTGAGTGTCTCTTTAAAATCCACAAGACGGAAAAAGCGACGCACGAGAAAAAATCACTTTATATATAATAATTTTAACAGTTTTAATGTCAGATATTTGTCACAACGGTGTTGACTAAAGCCCACTTTAGACGATCTATAATTCGCGTCAGATTTCCAAATAGAACTGTTCTGATATCTATATTAAATTGTTTTTTTTTTTAAATTAGATGGCTTATAAAATTATAAGACTATTATCTTGAATTTTAATACGAATTATAGATCGTGAACCTTAAATGTATTGCGTAAATTAATTTTGAAACAAACTATCGGTTTCTTTAATGAATACCGATAAATTTTTAAAAAGGAATGTTTGCCAAGACACAATCATACCTCACCCTTTGTGTGTATTACGACTGTAATCGTTGTTATGTGTCTGTCTGTACTTTTCGCTGGTATCCTCTTTCTGAAGTTGGTCCCAGGCAATGATTTTCAAATTTCTGGTGGTCAATTAATAAAGAAAAAGATACCGAAAAAGTGTTATATGCACGTGAAACAGGCTGAACATACAGCTTTAAACACTGCGATTCGCGAATTCTGCGGTGGCAATAAAGAAACGATACAAAATACCACCCAGAAATGAAAACACAAGAAATGAAAAACACCACAACGATAAACGACAACATCAACAACAAGCACAATATCGACAACAGTAAGAATTATCAAACAACTACAACTACAACAAAGTTTCTGTTTAATCCTATTCTACTCTTCGGTACGGTAAGCTATGATTTTATTGTTGCACCCGATATTCTATCTTTTTCTCTCTTCTTACGCCAAAATGCAATTTAAATCTTCTTCAATTAGCACTTTCTCTTACATTTCTTTATTTCATTTATTTACTCATCTTTATGTATATTGAAAAAAAATCCTGTACGAGTGTATAATAATTTGCGTTGATATTTTGTAAAATATATTTTTATGTCTCATAATTAAACATAAAGGTGATATATTCCATTTATATATAAATATATTTTAATTCAAATCTCTATACATTTAATAATTTAATTTTTAATTTTGCATTCATATATATATTATATATACGAGATTAATTATAATATTATATCAATTTATTTTATTTTTTGCATACAGTAAATTCGTATTACATTCTGCATGTTTCTCTTTTTCTCTCTCTCTCTCTTTCTCTCCCATCATTCATCCTCTACTTTTCTCTTAAATAACATTCTTAGTACAGCGCGAAACTCATACACTGTATATATTGTCAGGATATGCATATTTTAATAATCTTATACATTCCAATATTATAAAGACGAATCATAGCAAAAGTTTCTGGGACGATCTTCGCGTATCGTGCTTGACCTCTTATTGCGGAGCATGTGCCATCGATTTAATTATTTATCCCTCGATTGAAAGCCGATGTCGGCATAGCGTTGCATGGCTTGTACATTATGTGGAATGTGCCAAAAGCTTCTAACGCGAACAATTTCAGCCAGAAATTCGGCCAGAATTTCCAGTGAACTGCGGCGAATTTTGTCGCGTACAATATAATAAAAGGAAAAAAGACAGACGGAACTTCTGGCAAAAAGCGAAACTTTATATATATCTTGCCATTAATTATTTTCGCAGGGGAAAGTTTATGTATCGTGTGTATCGAGTGGCCTCTGTATATACGCATTTACGCTTCTGTAACTACAATACTTGCATGCAATTCTTCCTTATCCTTACGGCTAATGGATTGTTATATGCTTTAAGTTCCAAACGTCAGTGAGTTTAATTTATCAAACGCATCGTCGTGGATATAATGGCGTGAATAAAACAATATTTTTCATTGAGAACATTTCAAAACTACTAAAACGTATAAACTTATATTCTTTATAATCTTGATCTTGATATACACTAAATTTAAACGCTTGTCCACGACGAGTGCGATCCGCCATGAGTCTCCGCATGCGAAAGATGGCGAAATAAAGAGGAAGGAAGTAAAAAAAGGTGGAGAACGGAAAGAAACAAATTAAAAAAATCGAAGAGACAAAGACTAAAAGCAACATGGGGCGAATCATTGCCGTCCCTTATTCATTGGAGGAGAACAAATGTTATTATTGTTTTCAGCGAGCGTCACCGGCGGCAGCAATACGCAAAATTGAACGCGAGAGTAAGAGCTAAAAGTAAAATAACGTAACAACTACAGCAACAATAAAAAGAGAGATAAAAGGAGAAGAGGAGGAACAAGAAAGAGAAGAGAAGGAAGAAACGGCGGCTGAGAAATTTCCGAAGAGGAGATGGTTTCTGGAGGGATAGATCTCGCAAGATGGAAATTGTGATGAGCCGTTGACGAGCTCTGCCGGAGTTCTCCGCGAACGTAATCGTCGGATCGATCGCGCGCGGGAATCAAGGAAATCAATCGATCGATCGTCGGCCTTGGGATTCATCGTGGGAGAGGAGGAAGGATGACCGGAAGCGGATGATCGGAAGCAGGAAACGTTGATCCGAGCGGGAACAACGAAGAGAGCCGTCGCGACGACCACGGAACTTTCCTGTTACCCTTCGTAGCGTTTTTTTTTTCCTTTTCCGGATCGAGTAGAGGAAGTCGAGGGGACCACGCCGAACCGGCACGGTCTCCATATCTCGCATGGACGAAGGTCGCGCACGACAATTAACACGTGCGAAATTCCGCTGATTTCTCAATCTTTATTTCGTTGCGTTATTACTTTAGATTATTGTTTAATGTAATTGACGTATAATTTCATTGTTACCACGCTCTTTTCGCAACAGTGCGTTGTTTGAGGAACGTTAATTCATATCTTAAGTTTCGGCGAATGCGAAATTGAAAATACACAGATCTTAATGGATTAAGTCTTAGATCTATCTTATGTCTTACAATTAGTCTAAGTCGGAGATTTTGTTAGACAAGCGGAATTGAAACTGATCCTATTAAAATCTCATGACTAAACGCAGCTGATTGATAAGACGAGATATGTACATCGCGCTTTCCTTCGTCCATCTTCGTTAATTAAGATTGTCCGAAAAAAGTTAGAAAAGAAGAGAAATACAGAAATAAATGATTATTGTATACAAAGAAGCGGCAAGTTCATGAAAAGAGAGAGAAAATTCGTTATAGCAGCGATACATAATACTTAAATATATAGGAAATATATATATATAAATATATATATATGTATAGAAAGAAAAAGATAAAGACAGACAGGGTGTCTGTAAAAACCTCCATCATGTAAAACCTCTCCGACGAAGGCGGTTGCTGTAGTACATACGTGATGCGTTCACGATGTATATCGAGACATTTACTTTATAGACATAAATGTAAATCACGCAAACTGTAAATAATATATCATTTGTCTCTCACGCGCCATTTATCGGATTCAATCCGCTCCAATTATATATTGAGAAGAGTCACTTGTGTCCTTTAATTTGTCTTGCATCTTGCTTTTCGCTTTCCGCGAATTGTAATGGAAAAGTTAATCGATGGATAGGGAGGGACGGAATAGGAGGGAGAGAAGAAAACGAAAAAGAAATAATAGTGACAATCGCCTGCCTTCGTCGAAGACGGCGATCAACGTTTTCGAGCAACCTGTGTACAGTAAATCTAAGAAATAATAAAGAATGGGAAAGAAAAGAGAAGAAGTGGAAAAAGGGAGAGGAGACGAAGGGGGTGGAAAAAAGATACGTCTTGTTGTAGGGAGGCGCAGCAGCTAAAGTAACGTTTTATGGCTTTAAAGATGAATTATCTACAAGATGTTATGTATACATGTTAATAATAATGATTACGATGACGATAATAATGGTAATATTAATAATAATTATAATAAAAACGACGGAGGAGGTTGCTTTGCCCGCTTTGCGGATGCGATCGCGCCGAGAAAGAGAGGAACTCTTGTCATTTCGATTCGAGGATACCCGAGGGTAAGGCTCCATCCCCGATCACCCTCTTATTGTTCATCCGCGAGATAAGACGTTAGCGACAAGGGTATATTGCGCCCGACACGCCGATTCGTCGACGAAGATCGTCGTCGATCTCCGACGATCCTATCCGGGTCCCTTCCTTCTTCCGTTCGATCCTTACTGATTTCGGTACTGCTGCTGTGCTGCTGATTCAGCAATAATCTCGAGAGACGAAACCATCGTCCGCGATCCTCCGCAATTATTCCTCCCTTCGATCCCGTCCCGACGCGCGATATTTGTGGATATGCCTGCAGGCGCCATTCCGTCGCGACTTTCGGACGCGACAAAGTTCACCGAGAGAGAGAGAGAGAGAGAGAGAGAGAGAGAGAGAGAGAGAGAGAGAGAGAGAAGAGCGAGAGAAGAGCTTTTCATCGAGTCGATCGGCAGAATACGATCGACTTTGCTTTCGTTCGTGCTGGAATTCACTTTAGGGAAAATTTTAGGAAGCGAGATTTATGACAATATTTCAAATATTAATTTTTTGCAATTATTGAATCGATCTGATCATGTATTTAATCGTAGCGTTAATTGGCTAAAATAAAATAAAGAAATCATTCTAGTCTTCTTCTACCTTTTTTCAAATTAGTTTTTCTTGCACAAATATTTGTCACCTAACAATTTATTGTAATTAATTTCATAACATTGTTAAAAATAATGTTGATAATCTCATTGAGGAATCATTGGGGACCACAAGTTGTTAATGCGATACGCTTTTTTGTTGAATCTGCGAAAATCGCGAAGATAAAAAAGCGAAGGGCCGATCGACGAATGAGAAATTCTTCGAAATTGTCGCGCGAAATGGCTGCACCCGAGTTATAATATTTAAAAACGATCATTCTATGTTTATGAACTTACGAACACATAGCTGTACGTCATATCTTAACCGTGTCGACGTATCCCTAATTATTAACGACGAATATGACCTTGATGCTGCGCTTTGAACAATTGTACAGTATCGAATAAAAAATACACTGCGTAGTTGAATTGAAGTTATGAAGAGGCAACGAGAAGGGGATCGATTATAATTTTCTTTTTTTTTACTTTTGATCAAATCGTACTTCGATCGTAAAATCCTTACATATACATATACACGTATATTATTTTTTATAAGCACACCGACGTTTCTAAGAATTTTATTACTGCATTTTATATTATAAAAATGGATAAAAGCCACGCGTTTTAGCGCATTTTCTTTTATTTTGTGCCATTAATGCTGCATGTAAAAGAAAACAATACACGCGTGCGTTTCTAAGAAGAAAAATTTTATTCGGTTACGACTGGAAAAAAGTTTGAAATTTTTTTAACACCTATTGACGATTGAATATATATTGCAATTCGCCTTCCAGGAAGAGGATCATTATAAACCCTAATATCCGTTAAATCCAAAAAGGAGGTAAGAACAATAAACTTGCTATTGTATGCCGGTGTATACTTTTTTTTATATATTTTTCTACTTTTTTTAAGAATTTTATTTTTATATTCTTTCTTACTTGATTTCAATCTATACTTCCTCAGTGGAGCAGAGTCGTGAAGTTGCACACTAAGTACTATTATGAAATGACGCGCAATATGTGCTTTTTTTAACTAACAATCGCGTGATTGTGTAGTACATTTCAAAATTGTTAAATTAAGTATTTTTAAAGAATATATATAATTTAAAGACGTATTTTTATAATTAGGTCATAATCATTTCCTCAATTATTAATTTATTGATGTACGGTCGATATTTCCTTATAATTAAACTCTATTGGAATCTAAATTTTTTATATCCTTTGTCGATTAATAATTGCAATAATCCAATTATAACACTTATTATCAGTAGCCTCGCGATACTAAAAAAAAAATCATAGTAAACATGTTATTTTATCTTTGAATTTTATTTCTGTGCATTTGCATTTTCTCTTACGAGTTTTTTCTGTCCATGACAGTTACGTAAAATATGTGCTTCCATCTCATTGTGTATTCCATTATTCAGTTATTAATATTTCACACGGTCAGGGAGTCATCGCATATTCGTTTAAATGCTGTGTTAATAACATGAATTATATATTATAATACAATATAATAAATTCACATTCCATGTGATCGAAAGTAGAAGACACGTCAGTGATATGTGTGTGTCCAATTACTGTCGCTTCGTAATTATTTCATTCACTGTCCATTTGTACAACTGTTTCAACTTATCGTTAATGTAACAAATGGTGCCGGGCGCGCGCACACATGTTGAAATTTAAAGTAAAACACGACAATATCTACACACTATTATCTAACGGAATAAAGTCATTTTAAGAGAGAGAGAGAGAGAGAGAGAATGAGAGAGGGAGAAAGAGAGATAACACTGTAATATAACACACTTGTTTAAAAAAAAGTGAAAATATCAATACAATTTCTGTGTTTTAGCGTTGTACAACCTGTATATTTTTTATTTATCCAAATTATATGTTTCTGTGTGTTAATTATAAAAATGTGGGAATAAAAGATATCAAATACGACATATTATTTTTATGCCGTAGATAAAAGATAGATCCTATGATTCAGATACAGAAAATAACTGACAAAGATATTATTTTTTCGTCAAATTATTCTCGACTCTTATTAACAGTTGGGATTTTTCACTTCATACCTTTTTTCATCGAAAAGCTGTTGTATTCAACTTGGTATTCAATTAAAACTTTAAAACAAAAATGTTTAGAATATACTCTTAAATGTGCAATGGTAAAAATTCTTTTCTTACTAAGAACAAATTCTAAAAAAAAGTCTACACATAAATAGTATAATATTTTATTGAAGTTTAATCCTTTTGACCTGTGCAGCAGTAAATAAAGTGCAATGATAAATTAATTAATTAATATTAATCAATGTTACTCTTCAATATTTGTATAACAAAAAACAATTAAAAAACAATCAGGAAAGTGGGCTCTAGTAGGATCAAGCGAGCGAGCATGAACAAGCACGAATGAACAACTTGCTTCAATGAATGCAAACAATGCCATCATACTGATGGTTCACTAAAGCAAATTGTTCATTCGTGTTTATTCACACACAGAGAGAATTTTTTCTTAGAATTTACCCTGAAAATATGACAGTCGTGGGACAACGTTGTATTTCGGAGAATTTTAATGTAAATCTCTCTCATTCATTAATAAAACTACAATGAAGTATAAAATGAATTTGATCAATTTTACTAAAGTGCATGGTAAAAATCTTTAAAATATTGTACCACAACTACCATATTTTCAGGGTAAATTTTAAAAGAAAATTCTCTCCGTGCATTCGATCTCTACATCTCGACTCGGTTTGATACTTTCTGACAAACTGACATACATGGAATAAATCTCTCCTCAAAAATTTTAAAAACTACTTCTGTAGAGAAAAGTTGTTATATTTAATATAACAATGTGCAAGAAATTTTTCGTATCGATCTTCGTTATCGTTTTACGTTACAAATCTAAAACGTCCTGATATCAGATACTAATATAATTTTCATTTGAACGTTTCAGTGAAATTCATGCCGGAATCGGCGCCGGCTCCACCCGCGTACAACTATCCACCGGGTATGATACCGCAGGGGCCGCTGCAAGGGGCCGCGGGACCTGGTGCAGCTGCGGGTGGTGCAGGGGGGACGGGCGCTGCAACAGGGGGTGGTTCGCCGCAAACCGCTGGAGCCGCGCTCGTCGGCAACCTGAACGCCGGTATGCACAGCGTTGTATAAACGACACGACGTGATGGTATTTGAGGTAAAAAGGGAAACGAAGAGGATTCTGACAACGACATCATCCGCGGAAATAACTGGTCGACATATTCACTTCGGCGATCATCCATCTGTTCGAATCATCGTCAGCGCATCGAAGGGCACGATGGAATAATCCGGTAACTCCATAAACCATAGAATCTACTAAACGAATTTCAGAAGTTATGGATTTACATCGTTTGCTCGAAACCCTTCGTCTATCGTGCGTCTAATTGTCTCTTATGTTGAGTTATTTAGCGTTTTCGTCAATGTGATATTGTAATAATTAATTCCATTGTCCCTACGGTTAGCAATTACTATGCAACTTTCTTTAAGCTATATAGTATTTTAGACACAAATTGCTTTTACGTGATTATTCACTAATTTTTATTCAATTGTATTTGCATCTTGTTGATCTCATAGTCAAATC